AACCGTGGTGTGAGAGGTATTAAGAGTCAATGCCAGCGAAAGAGCTGCGGTCTGAAGGTCATCGTAAAATACAATTAATTAAGAACCGAAATGGTTTAAAACATCTTTCCAATGGTTACTAAGCCAGAATCCATCTTCTCGGTTGAAATTGTCTCTGTGCTTGTATATGTGAATGGCCTCATGAACGAATCTCTCATGGTAGCCGGTTGGTTTGCAAAGAACCTCCGTCTTGGAGAAGTCAATGTCATGTGAGCCCACTGAATTATAACAGTGATCTGCCACGGCAGAGGAGTTCGTTCTACCGTGTTTCAAGTCTGCTTTATGTTCGCGGACGCGGTCCGCGATTTAGAGTTTACAATTTATTGGAGTGGTTGACGTGACAATATGAACTGGGTAATTTCCACGACACGTGGAGTTGCCCTTGTTTGAAGCCCGTGGCTGTACAGATTCAAAGTCCACGTGGGCTTACTCCAAGTCCAGGTGGGCTTACTCCAAGTCCAGGTGGGCTTACTCCAAGTCCAGGTGGCTTAATCCAGTCCACTTTTCCGGGTTATAAAATCCCCGTCACTCAAACGCGCAGGACACGGCACGCATCTCCAATGCAGTCCGCTGACTGGCAAATGCAGTAAGCGGGACTGGCATGCACTCCAGAATCCAGATTCAATACACCACGGCTGATACGGCTCCTCTTTAAAGACCGAAGGCTTCACCCCGCCACCTTAACTCGAAATGGTCGTAAAAAAATAGAAAGTATCTATCAATGATCCCCTGATGTGCGAGCTCGGTTTATATTACAGAATAACAGAACTGATGGGAAAAAATGTGTGAAATCCTTGCGAATGCTTATTTGGTTTTATTTTAATGTGATTAGAAGGGTTGCAGGGTAATTTTGTGCTGAAACGCTAAAATAAATTAAACCCTTAATACATTAATCTGAGTCACTCGCACGCGGGGCCCTGATGATAATAAACAAAGCTCAATAGGCCTGGCACAGGCAATGGGCACAGGCCTTCATTAAGGGACTCATTAACTCGGCTGTGGATAGCTAAGCCTCAAAATGCTCAACTGTAAAACCCCGAAGAAGTACTTTAAAAAATTCCACTGTTCAACTTCAACGGAGGAATTTTTATATTAAACTCAATAAATTGCCATAGCAGCAAACCGTCCGCACGCCAACTTCTAAGAATACATGAGTAATGGTTTTTGTTGTTCTTTTAATCAGGATTTAAATTCGGGATGACTGCTGGCAACTACAACTGACAACCGCGTGCAAGTTACCGCACACAAGGGGAAATGCGACTGCGTACATCATCGGTCACTCGCCCACGTGACCGATAATTATGCAGGGAGCTCGTTCGCTAACGCTGGAAGAGTGTCATTCTGGCAAGACCGCTGCAAGGCAATTATCAGCATGCCGATGAGCTAAATCAAATCATAACCACCACCCCCCCGTAGATCCAATGTCGCCCGTTGCGTGTTGGGCAGCAGGTGTCACGTGGAGGGACGAGGGCCGATAGGCGACACTGGTGATGGAATGGCAGCCAAGGGAGGGGAAGGGAGGGAATGCGCCCGAGAGGACGCACGTGTGTATGCAAGTTGATCTTCTTTCGCACCGTGCGTAGCCAACCGTGCTAATTGTAAGGGGCGGGAAATCACGGCGGAGACGGTGCGATGAGGTCAGCTGATGCGCGTACGAGTGAGATGGAACCATGCATCACAGGACCATGCAAGTGATGGAAACGGGGGAGAACTTCATCCAGCAGTGGAGAGAAAATGGATGTCGATGATGATTAAGTAGTAATAATAATAAGAATACACTCAATGTTTAACTATTTAAAAAATAAATGACAGCCCTCTGCCAAACCAGTGGAAAATAAGGCCTCCCCCACACCGAGTCGTCATCATACTTCGCCACGCTGGTCAGCATGAGTTGGTGAAGGGGGGGGGGGCACATAGTCCCAGTTCCGACATTGCTCTCCAATGATGATGTCTACGTTCAGGAATTGAACTCAAGCGACAGGCTCATCGCACAGCGCACAAATCGCTGCACCGTCCCCACTTTCTACCCCCCAACTGGAAATTAACGCAAATTAATTATTTTCCCAAAATGTTAACATCTGTCATGGTATAAGTGTCCCGAAATATCGCGCGCGATGACTCGCGTGTCTTCGCCTCCGTTTATTAAATTTTGTTTGCCTGGGCCATGGCCCAGTGAGCCCAATGGGATTGCAAAGGAAGGCGAGCACACGGGTGCCACAGGGCAAAATAACAACTGCGGTGAGACCTTAACATCAAAGGTGGGTGGGGGGGGGTATGTTGAGATGCACCACAACCAAAAACAGTTCTTGAATAAGTATTGATTCGGTGACCCGGACCCCAACAAAAACAGCCCATTCGTATTTAACAATAGGCAGCCGGGATCTACGCCTGCAAACAACACGAGGCACGGCAGGCAGGCAGGCTGCTACCTCCATCGCAGAGCCACACTCTGCGATGGAGGTATCAGCCTGGGCTGTGTGGCGACTTCAATTCGGGTGGCCGGCGTGCTCCACCTCGAGCTTCGTGAATTGCGCGTGTCGCGTGTAAACACGACGTCTATAAATAAAGAGCCCGTTGTCAATCCGTTGCTGGTGTCATTGGCTCCCCCCCCCCGCGCTGTTTCATTCACGGAGATTTTGTATTTATTCATCATACTTCAGCACGCTGGACTATGCACGTTGGTGATGGGGAGTGCAGCACAGAACAGGTTTTAGATATCGCGCACCACCGATGTTTGCCATAGCCTGGGGAATCAAACTCAGGTTGCCAGGTTCATAGTGCGGCGAGTTGGAACGATGGTTACACCACTTCAACGCAGGTCGACGCAACATCATCAGACAATCGCATTGCTACGTAGGATTTAGGGGCTGTTGTTGCAATGCCTTCTAAAACCCTTTAACACGAAACCTCAAGAGAGCGACTTACCTTCCATAAAAGGCAAAGTGATCTCATGCTGCTGCTCAAATACGCAATAAGACAATGCTCATCTCCTGTCTACAGCCCTGAGCCAAAAGAGGACATGTCCACGTTCCTCTGACAGGGGCGGGTCACTCCACTGGACAACCAATGTTGGATTCCACTAAAAGTGGTACTTATTTTGTCATGACTGGGCTAACCTTCTGCAACGGGTCTTTAAGAAGTCACCGATAACATGCATTTTTACGTCAAATCACTTCCAATAAAACATTTATTGATACTTGAGGGCTTACGTTTCGACACTCTTTTATGCCAGCGTTTGGAAAGCTTGTTATTTTGTGATGATGGTTACTTGCACGTCCAAAGGCAGCCTTCACCTTAAGAGTTCAGGTAAACGAAGTTCAAGGTGTGACCCAATAAGTGAAAGCTGTGAAACATTTTCACCTCAAAGTCATAAAAAGGGGAATGAGCCCCAAGTGTGGTTGCTTTTATGACCCCCACACTGTCAAAAAGTTTCCCCAGCTGTGACAGCACTCACAACGCCACCACCACAACCACCACCACCAGAACAAAGACCCCCCCCCCCCTGTTTCGGAGACTGTGAGTGGCTAAGCACCCATCAATGCTGACGCTGGGTACAAGGCGTTGGTGTGGCCGACGCTTCCCCCGGACACGTTTGACGGTTGCGTGCCGCGATCAGGTGCTGAGTGTCCAGGTACGGACTTCTAATATCATTCACCAAAGATGCTAGCCGTGGCCAGGAATGGAGCTCGGATGGCCACAACAAAGACAAAAATTTCCCCTATAGCCTTAAGAGTGTTGGGGCAAGTGCTGTTAGCGAGCAGCACCTATGAAGGCCGGCACAGTAAGCATGGGGGTGGGCGGCCAGCATCACACCGCATTTGTCTCCCCAGTGGTGATGTTTGCACACCGCACCTGGGACTCATTTGAGGCTGAGTCGACCTAGGGGAGGGCCAGGACCAGTTCAGATAATCGTCACTGGTGCGGCGATGAGCGGGAATCGAATGCAGCGTGCTAACCATTACTCTCCCCACGCTACACACATACGTACATACACGCACGCCAAAAAAATCACTTCACGCCTTGGATCATGTGAACATACGGCGCGCGGAAAAGCATTTTTATTTAATCTTATTTTACTAATGTTTGCAGTACGCTTTTATTGATCCATTATCAGATTTGACCTCGTGTTACGTGTGGTGCACTGTATGCCTTTAGTGACCGACATCTCACTTGCAAACTTGTTGACTCAATGTGCTCTCCGCTGGGCTGAGGTTTTACTGATACCTCTATCTCCCTCCCCCCCATGCTCTCACGGGGAACCCACTGCCGTCGAAGGTCATGGTCCAATGAACAACATGAAGCACACACTCCCCCCCACCCCCCTATTTAAATGTATATCCTCTCCGTACCCCTATGCCCCCCGCAGCCCATAACCCCTCCGTCTATCCCAACCCCCTTTTCTGGGTCACGTTGCACTGCCTGCACTCAACAGCTACCGGTCATGACTGAACTTTTTGGTAGCCTTAGTGTGGTTCTATGAGCCACAGCGATTAACACTGAACCCAGCAGCATATTGCAGTGGGGATGAGCCTTGGTGAAAGGATTTAAATGGGTGCCTCCCCCACCCCTGTCCAATTTGCCCGACTCTTCACAGCCTGTCATCTGGGCCCCTCTAGCTCATGGGCTTTGGCGCAGTTGCACCAATGTAAGCCTTTTTGTCTCGAAGCACGTTTTGAGTCTGTGGGTCTTTATGTAAGTCTAGGGGTCTCTGTGCGAGACTATGGATACCTGCGTGAGTCTACGCAGCTCTATTTGAGCCTACGAGTCTCTGTTAATCGATGCGTCTCGTTGTCGGTACGTGTAGGTCTATGGCTCTTCATGCAAGTCCACGGGACTCGATGCCAAACTCGGTAACGCTCGTCCAATTGCCCCCTCTCCAAAGCCCGGGCGCCTGGGCCCTCCTCCCCGGTGCGGCCGCACCCCACTCTCCGGCCAAAGACGCCGGGCGCCCTCGAGCTCACCTGGACGATGTCGAGCACCATGCCGGCGGCGACCATGCCGAACCCCGCCAGCAGGAAGGGCAGCAGCACCTGCATGCCGATGGAGAAGGCGGACTCCTTGTGGGTGCCATGGGCGTCAGCTTCGGTGCTGCCCACGTCGTCGCTCTCCGTGGCCTGGCTGCCGCTCTCGAGTAGGGCGTCCTCCTCCTGGGCGCTGCGCACCTCCGCCAGCTCCACGCCCTCCACCTTCCGGCCACCGCCGCCGCCGCCGCCATCAGCGCCAGGACTTTCCTGTCGGTCACCTGTCGGGGGGGGGGGGGGGGCGGGTACGGTATTGGCGGGGTGAGCTCGCGGCGTATTCGTTTGTTAATGCACCTGCTTATTGGGAATAAACTAATTGTCATTTCCATAACCGAGTAATTTTATTAGACAGAATTTCCATTTAAATATTAAATGTATTTTTTATTCAAAACATTACTGTCCATCTCTCCATATAGTATTCAGACGTTTAACCCTTGATACTTCCATTCGTTCATCTATCCATTCGTTATTATTTATAATAAACAAATGATTAATTAAAATACACTAACAACAAATTTAGCTCACTGAACGGCTTGTGCTTGTTGGTGTACACGTTGCAATTGGTTTTCCGTTTTTTCCGCATTAATTTAAACGCGTGAAGACGAGACCGCTTGTCTCAACAAATCCAACACACTGACATCCAATCGCTACGTCCACATGATAACAAGAGATGTTTAGATTCCAATGGCCTCCCGTGCTCCCTGACTTACGTTACCCAGCAGAAAATTCGGGACCAGTTTCGACCCTCCTAAGTCTCAGCAGAGTCTAAACTAAAACTAACAAAAAAAGATGCTTATTTTACCAGGTAAGACCAATTGAGCTGTATAGCTCTTTTTCAGAAGCGATCTCACCACAACTGGTAGCTCAATTAAGTGGTTTATCACGTGGAAATGTATAGGAGCCAAGTACTCTAAACGTATGTTTCTAAATGTGGAGCGGAAAACCGGGAGGACCCGAAGAAAAAAATGTTCACGCAACCATGGGAGAGAGACACGCAAACTCCAAATATTCAAGCATCAGGGTCGGGATCGAACCCACGACCTCTTGTATACCAGGCAAGGTAGTCAGCATCTCACCAGCTCATTATTGTTTTGGGGTCGATAAAAACGAGCACCACTTTGTGGGATGTTAACAATCACACAATGCGATTGCCTCCCCCCTCCGCCCTCCCCCCCCCAAAAATGCGGAATATCCACCGCTGGCATTGGGCCATCAGTGATGAAGAATGCCTCTGCAAGACTCAACTGAGCGGGATTCCACTTTGACTTATAACTCAAAGCATAAGCACAAACCTGCCGCAATAAAAAAAACCTTTCATGCACTGGAACAAAAAGATGAAAGAACCGAGTTGACAACGGTGCCCAAGCGTGCACACGCAAAAAACCAATCCCGACACAAGCCGAAAGTGCAACTTGCAGTCACCAGTTACAAACCCTGGGCCCACGCAGTAATGCCACTGCCCTTCTGGCTGTCGCCTGACGAGGCTGGTTTTAATTACCGGCGAAACATCACGGTACTCGAACTGTTAATGTTGTGGGCTTACACACCGGTGTGCTGAACTAGTAACAAATTGGCATGTTTTGTTCACGTGACAAACCTTACTAATTGTCCGCTGGTGGCGGGTTTAACGACAGATTTATATTTATGCGATCGAATCCAAATAAACCTCTATTATGGCGACTGCCCTCTTCTATAATTCGCCTGTGGGTCTCTCCACGCGTCTACGAGTCTCTGTGCAAGTCCAAGAGGTCTCAACGCGAGTCCGTGGGTCTTCACGCAAGTCTACGAATCTTCAGGCGATTGTGAGTCTCAAGCAACGGACAATATTGTAACGCCGCTGTCCACTCCACTCATTCTCCGAGAGCAATTCAGTTATTGACCGTGAGGCTGCTCCTGAAGCCGCTCGGTGGCTCACTTACTAACCTCGACATGAACAAATAAACGTTCAGGAATAGGTTTTACCCTTTTAACTGGCACAAAAACTGACACCTTTATTCAAGGCATCAAAAAAAATAAACGTTCCTCATCAACTCCCCGCCATGTGAAAGCGGAAGTTTGTTAACCCTGCCCTACGAAGGAAAATAGATGGTCGGCTGATGTTACAGGCAATAGCCCTCATTCAGAGTGGAGAGAATGAAATAGATTTATTTTACAGCCTTTGAGATTGCACTTCATCTGAGGCCTCTAAAAATAAATTTATTTATTAAATTTGTCAAATTAATCGCTTCTTGTGTTGTTTACGCAGTCCTGAGAAGTGATCATCATCATCACGAGCTATGATCAATCCACTGCTGGATACAGACCTCCCTCACCTCCAAGCCACTACCATTCCTTGTGTTCCCACAATGCTATCATCTGTGAAACACCCGCAGACGAGCCCAATTCCATCACTCCATCTCCACGAGGGACGGGCTCTCGTGTTGCGTTCCCTCCTTTGGCTGGAGCCCTCCGACTTGAGTCTCGGCCGCTATTCCATCGAGCGGCGTGCATTGCCGCCTCAGCCCGTTTTACTTTGTGAACATCATGCGTGGCAGGGGGGGAGGGTGGGGGGTGAAGGGGTGGGGGGGGAGGTGAGGATGAAAAAGAATACCGGGAAAAAATAATAAAAAATCCACACGGAAATGCAGACAACGTGGTCCATTTATAAAGGGGCCCCGCGCTTTATTTAGACGACACCAACTTTCCCTTGCGAGCAGGTGGCCCGGAGGACGCTGGATGCCGGCCCCAGCCAACTCGCTCGCCCTCGCCGCTTTACTTTTATTCGTGGTCCCGGTGTTTGGGAGAAACGAAGGCCCGCCACGCCCGTCGTGGCGACCGATCAAGGGCCCCCCACGGCGTGCTCTCCCAGCTCCGCCGCTGGCGCCGGCTCGCGGCAGCGCTCTATAGTTAGCGCCAGAAACGGCTGAAAAAAACGAACGCGGCCCCCAAACGTTGCCTGGGCAGAGGTCTCTCCGTAGCTGGGTTTGGCTGCCTCATTGATTTTGCGGACCCTGGGGTTTACACTTTGATAGAGGTGGGTGGGGAGGGGGGGGGAAGGAGTGGAGAGTGTTTTTGGTTACGCGGCAGGCCTAGGAGATGCGTGATGGAAAAATACAGGGATTTGTATGATTATGATGACGATGACGTTGAAGAAAATTATTATTTGTAATGATGGTGAGAACAACGTTGACATGGTTGATGACGATGGTGATGATGATTGCTGCAACTTAATCACAGTGCTGTTGTGTCAAGATCCAGGGGCAACTGTCTTTTGCAGCAAGGGAGATTTGGGAGACTTACAATAACTCCGGGGTGACCTCTGGATAAGACACTCAACACATTCGTCAATAACATGACACTTCAGGCAATTGTCCAACGTCATAGAAGACCTATGTACTCTACTTGGGAAGTTCCCTGCCTAAGAGCCATGGCTCACGGTCCCTCCATGTTTTTTTTATATTCCACTCGCATCACCACGCAGCTTACTACAGGTCCGTTGACTGAGAGGAGGTCGGTCCAACTGGTTTCCCATCGCCCTCCTCAACAGCGTCGTTTGGGTGACACGGTCACCAGCCAACACGTCAAGCGGTGGCTTGCACCACAGACGCATCACACACGGCACACGAGAACAAAATGCGGGCCGATTGCCAACAATCGGTGCCCAAAGCCTCGCTCGCCTAGGGCCATAAACCAGGAGAGAAGTGGTTCTCCGTCTCCTTACTCAGCAGCGCTGTTTGGGTGGCACCGTCGTCACCACCGGACGCGGTGCGACGTCACGATGCGGCGCGTCGACCCGAGCGGGCGGCACGGACGCGTCGCCAGCGGGCCCCGACATTCTCTCCGACCGGCGAGTGCCCGCGGCGGCTCACCTCGCTCACCCGCAGCGGCACCGTTGAGCAAGACGATGGCCGTCTTGGCGGCGGTCTGCGCCGGCGCCTGCTTGCCGGCTGCGGTGTCGGTGGCGCCGGGCCCCTCCGTGCCCTCCGTGTACACCCGTCCGTTGCCCTCGGCCACCACCTCAGTCGGCGTGCACCCGCTCGGCTCCTGCAGCACCATGGCTCCGCCTCCGCGCGGGCGCCCGTGCTCGTGGCGCCGTCGCCGTTCCCGGCGCCGTCTGGAACGATGCCCGTCTCTCGGTTTCTCCTGGCTTGGCCCGCGGGCGACGTGGCGTGGTCGGTCGGTCGATTCGTCCGCTTGTCGGTCTGTACCGGTGTGCGTTTGCTCGCGTTGCGTGGATCTCCGGCGGGTGTTGGGGTGAAGCTGGGGCCTAGAGAGCCTTCACGAAAGCTGGGACGATGCCCCTAGCTGTGGAAAGACGATGACAACAGCGACTCCCTTGTCATCAACTATTCGGAGAGTAGGCGTGTAAATGAATATCGGTTGAAATAGATTGTTATGCTCAAAATATGTGCAACGTATCAAGTGTGTGAGAATTGGTCACTTGTGATTCGTGGAGAAGGAAATGCAAATACGCCAGCGTTTGCATGTAGACTTATTGAACGGATGAAATGGTGTAAATCAATTGGAACAAACTAGAAATTATACAAAATGAGATGGATAGGCAAAAAACGATCTATCCTTTAATTAAATACACGACCCCTGAATCGTGACAATTAATTTAATCGGGTGGGGGTTGACCTGTTACTTTATCATCAAACAGCATGCCTCTAGTGAACAATATTACTCTAAGCCCTTCTAAATCCAGTGCTGGATTAAGACCACCCCATGCCATGTCAGTCACAAGGGTTTATTTGGCCGTACTTCAACACGCTGGTCGGTGAGAAGAGGGTTGGAGAGTAGAACTGGTTCAGACATCACTCGCCATTAACGTGCCGCAGTGGGTGGGAATTGAATTCAAGGCCGCTGGGTTCAGAATGCCATGTTTGGACCACTGCATCACCATTCCCCAAATAATAAATACGTTTTCGTACAACGCCTTTAGTTCGCGTATCACCTCTAAGGCGCATCGCACATGTCACTGCGACCGATACGCCTTGTTATGTAAACTCAAGGAGGTACCGCATTCAACCTGTGACTGCCTAACAGACTCATCAAGCACTGATTGAAAGTTCCCCGTGAGAGAGCGAGACAGACTGACTCGCGTGTGCTCAAGCCCGACCTACAACCGGACACAAATTTACATGACTAAAGTTGGAATTCCAAGACTGTTACATAATGTCTCAGCCAACGTGGCAAAAACTCCACAACAAGTGCCAGCCAGATCGGTTTTCCAGGAGATACGATGCCAATGATCGCAGCAACTGCGAAAGGTTAAACGCTTTAACGAGTTAAGTAAGATTTATACAGCTGTGGGCCTTTAATGTCAGCGGCAAAACAGTTCTCCGGTTCGTTTTTTCTGGTTGTATCGCCGCGTGCCATTCCGCAAAACGACCGACGCTTCACTCCACAAGCCGGGAGCTTCTTCAGGAACTCCCGGCATGGGGAGTGAAGCGTCGGACATTCGTGCCGAACAGCGCGCGGTGCAACATCAAAACACACCTCACGGATACACAGCACAACCGCGAGAATCTTACACGGTGGTACATGCAGCGTTTTTACAATTGACGCGTCCCATCCTCGGAAGCCAATGCAGTCGTTTCAGCATTGAACAGCTTCACGACCGCTAATCTCCCGTTCAATTTTCCTCATTTGTAAAGTGGGCAGAGTCGCCATCGTTCGCCCAAAAACGCCAGTGGAGGTGCCGCTTCAACATTCCAATGGGTTGAGGACATCTTTTGGCGAGTCTGCGAACGCTCGACGTACGCGTCGAGGAGCGCGCAACGGCAGCACGTGTGCCGAGCGCATGTATAGCGGCTCGGGTGGCCACGTGTATATATACGACGCCGACGCTCGGATTTCAGCAGTACGAGCTCGGTTGTACCACTGCACTCGGACCGACAACAAACGCCACCCGACCTTAAAGCGTCCATACAAATAGATTCAATTATTTTTCGGCGCACCGACAAGCCACGGCAGCGTAAATTAAATACGCCCGAATTATAACGCACTGCTATAAATGACCGTTTGAATCGGAGATTTCGCGTTAGTAAGCTTCGGACCGTTATCACTCCACTGCTGGATTTAGGCCACCTCACGTCGTATTGGTCATGTGGGGTTGTTTGGCAAAACTTCACCATGCCGGTCACCGAGGGTTTGTGGAGGACGGGGAGGGGGTCCCAGTACCGTTTCTAAAATAACTCGCCACTGATGTTAGCCGTGGCCGGGAATAGAAGTCAGATCACAAAGTTCATAACACAGCGAGCTAAACACTTGGGGCACCACTCCTCAAGCACATTCTCTTTGGGAATCCGTACACTGAAATAACTTAAGCATCGCACATCATAACTTTGTTCATAAGCATATAACATCCGTCTGATAAGCCATGGTTAAATGACAAATTTACTTTCTAACAAACACAAACCCGTGTATGCCCTCTGGCCATCTCGTCGCTTTGTCCGTAACCCTGTTTAATAAAAGTCACCACCTAATTGACTTTTTTTTTAGTTTCCGCACCGCAACAATTACCCCTTATAAATTGAGCCTCTGGCAGCAGCAGCAGCAGCGGCACCGATGCAGCAGCAGCGTCGGAACGAAGGCATTTAGATAATGGACAATTTGGACGCGGTGCAAAGCCGCACTGCACCGCGTCGTGACGACGAGGGCTTGCATGCAAACCTGAGAGCGAAGCTTGCCTGAGCTTCAACGGCAGATGGAATCTCGTCCCACCGATCAAAGTGCCGTCCCGAGACATCGCACGTGCATTTATACGGGATGCCGTGGTATGAGAACAAAAATATATATAATTAATGAAGAAAAACTTGTGATAATTAATCGAGCCACATGTAATATTTAACCTTCAATTGAACAACAGCTGCCCCCCACCAACCCCCGCCCCCCAACAACCCCTCACCGACTTGCATAGTGCTTACGACACCACATAATTAAAATTAATGCATACTGTATTGCAAATTAATGCACAATCGAAAGTTAATATGTAAAACCAGCATCGGTTATTTAAGGATCACCCAGTCTTCCTGTAACATCAGCGGAAATACACAAGCAGAATCGTCTTGCTGCAGCGCTTTAATGCATGCAAATTTCTGCTCGGCGTCTCTTTACGAACACTGCAAGTGGCAAATAAAAGCATTCAAGGCAGCCCGAGCACTAAGATGTGGTCGCGATGCAAAAGTTAAGGTCGCAGAGAGGAAGTGAGTGATCAACCCTCCTCCTCCCGTGGGTAACTGCCTGCCTGCCTGCCTGTGTCCTCTTGCTAAATGTAATTACCTCTGCTCCATTTAATCAGGCAACACAGCCCTTTTGAGATGCACATTCCGTTTGCCACAGGAAAACCGAAGAAGTTGTATCTGCACGAAATTTATTTTTTTAAATGGTATCGATATAAGCAATTCATTCGTAATAATAATTCTCAGCCCATTCAATCCACTGCTTGACAAATGGGATCCACCATACCACGTTGGTCATATTTTTGGCAAGCTGGCAAAGTGTTGGTTGGTGGAAGGACCGGTATCGATACCGTTCGCTGGCAGTTTCAGTCCGTGGCTGGGAAGGGAGCACAGGACCACAGGATGCCAGGTTCAGAGCGCGACACGCTTCTGCCACCACAGTTGAGTTGTGAACACACGTTTCAAAATGTAGGACGGGATTCCGGTGATGGTAGAGCCGGTATCGGTGCCCTTAAGCATTGACCCAGGGTCCTAAATTCCCACTTGTCGCGTAAATAAATGTGTTTTCGCAGCGCGGATTTAATTTTGACGAAACCTCTCAGAAATATTCAAAGCGCAGGATTTCTTGCTCTGCTGGTTTTCGCACATTCGCGTTACTTTTTTTTCTTTTAGAAAATTAAATGCCTCTGTGTCAGTGGACTTTTACAAACGGGAGATGGCTGAAAAGTTTGTCTTAAATGACCATGTAACAGGAGCAGTGTGCTCTCCGGCCGGAAGCGCCGCTGGTCGCTGGAGTTTTCCACAAGTGTGGCACAACTCCGGGCTACTTCTTGAACTCAAGCAGCACAGCGCCGACGCCTACTAACGGTAAACACCACCGCGGTGTGCCAGTGTCCACCGCCGCGGAGTAAACTTTGTGCGATGGCACGAATCTGCTGTGCCACGGAGTGTGCGCCACGGGCTTGAGTCCAGATTTGCCGTGTAAGTGTTGCCAGCTGCTAGTACTAAAGATCGAAGGGGTGGCTTTAGTGCATCTGTTACCAACACTCCCAACGTAGGGTTAAATCGGCGTGGCTACTCGCAACAAGTGAACAACACGATAAATTAAAAACACATTCAAGCTTCCGAATAAATCAGGCGGTAAAAAAATCCGTTGTTGTGCTGTACATATATGCTCCCGTGTCTATGCTCCTCACCTTCACCAACTCAAAACTGAACAGCGTGCTGACCTATGATCAAATAAACCCGAGCAACCAACCCGCAGTCTGGAGAGGACCTTGTCCCTATCTGGGTGTGCTCAAAACTACAAGATTTAACCGTATTACGCTTTGAAGCATTACAGTATTATGATTCATCTTCTTTGGTTCTTTCGGTAAAGGCACGTAGAATGAGAATAAAATAATAAATTGATAAAATAAAATAACACAATAATATTCTCACGACGTTTCGGCCACAACACAAGCGGCCTTCATCAGGTGAAGGGACGAGACTGTCTGGTAGGACAGCGCTGGAGTGGTATTATGATTGTGATGCAATCCTTGCAGTATAGATACAGTCTATCGTTGTGTCTTACAAATTGTGACGTCATACACGACTTGCCAATAATTATCTGTACTACAATGATTTTGTCATATACTCGTAGAATTCCACATTGTATTAACGTGGAATCACAACCATCACGTTCCTACACACCAGGTTGATATGATGCATCACAGGGCGCATTTCATCATCAAACCCATGATCAATCCACTGCTGGATGAAGTCCTCCCCAAGCTGTCGCTATCGTTCGTCGGTTTGCAATGCACTAACCCGTCTAGCCCCTGCACAGCAGCCGATTCCGTCGCTTCATCTCCGCAGAGAATCCGTCCCTTCGAGCGTGCTTCCTCCGTCGGCTTTAAATCCACCCCGTTAATTTGCAAGCCGCGTTTCTCAACAGTCGATGTGCGACGTCTCTAACTTGCGTGCGAGCTTTCTCGTCCCGGTGTGTTCCTCTCCAAGTCCCCATTGTGTATAAATCCACTTGCTCTCGTCGACACGGCACCATGCATTGCGTGAACAATACTCGAGTCTATGCCACACATTGCTAAGTCATACATTTTAAATGCATTAGAAATATCTGTTATCCAGCAGTGATTTGCCACGGTTGGATACGTACGGTGCGAAAGAAGTCCCACATGCATTTTGGCTGAAGATGATAATGTGACCCATTCATTATTCTGGTTTGGCTATTCCGGTGCAATGTTTGAATATCCATAACCAGTATGTATGCGTGTGCAAATGTTAAACGGGAAGCCAATTAACATTTGGACACATATAATAGGTAGTAGGTATGCCACTGCCCATGACTGATATGCCCGTACCAAGAAAATCAATGTCCATACGGGTATATCGATACCCTGTATGCCCATACCCAGTACGGTACTGTATACCAAGGCCGTAATTATTATATATATTGGGGGACGCACATCCCCCCCAATATTCAAATATGCTCAAAATGTCCCCCCAATATATTGCTATCAAATAGATTTCTGTATATTTGATTGTGGTTCTGGTTGTACTTTATTAATCCCTAATCTCTGCCATAACATACAATGAAACAAGAAAAGGTAAAAAATAAAAAAACAGAGCAATGTAATACAATACACACTTAGACATTGTTGTAAAAAATAAATAAAAAGTCCATCCTATGTGTTAGTGAATTTTTTTATATTTTAGGCAGGAAATTAGTTTTCAAATTTAGATTTTTTTTTCTAAGGGGGGGGACCCCCAGACCCCCTGGAAGATTTGGTCCCCCCCAATGTTTGCTCCATGGCTACGGCCTTGCTGTATACACATATACCCTGTAAATTCTTAGCAGGTATATATACATGCCGTTATAGATACCAGGGCACTTGTAAGTCAGTTTACACAGCCGGTATATTCAACCGGATGTGTACCGCGAATACCTTCACCGGTACTGTTAATGCCATACCCGGATACAGAGTCCTGCATATCACTGCCAAGAGAAGGTTAGGTCAATATGCATGGCGGGTATAGCAATAACCATACTATACGTACGTGTCAATGTGTATATCACTGTCCGAACCCTACCAGCTAAGGTGCACAGCTGGTAGGTATATCCATAGTGTGTACGTCATCTCTGCCCTTGTACTACACTACCACTGGCCAGTACGTCAAGTTGTGTTAAACACCTTAGTGGATACCTGTGCCCGTACGCGACAATCAATAAGTCGCAGTTGTCAACGGGTGTCAATAGCCCGTACGTGACGATGGCGAGTAGCCGGGTAGGTGTATTCACATCCAGTACGCAGTCGTGAAGATAACCTGCCCCTGTAACATCGCCGTCAAAGGCGAGTGCGTGGCGGTATAGCCATAACCACCATGCAGGAGCTACCTGCCCCTGTAACATCACAGTTCATGTGCCAACAAGTGACCGTGGTCGACCAAGTGTGTCGATGTTTCCACCCCTGTCAATATCCAGAGTCCGTGCCGTTACACAGGGGACGGACGTAGCGCTCACGCCCGGCCACGTGTGTGGTGGTGGTGGCAGCAGTAGCAGTGGGTGACGCATACACACCGAGCCCACTCGCCCGGCCACGTGTGTGGTGGTGGTGGTCGTGGTGGTGGTGGCAGCAGTAGCAGTGGGTGACGCATACACACCGAGCCCACTCGCCCGGCCATGTGTGTGGTGGTGGTGGTGGTCGTGGTGGTGGCAGTAGTAGCAGTGGGTGACGCATACACACCGAGCCCACTCGCCCGGCCACGTGTGTGTGTGTGGTGGTCGTGGTGGTGGCAGTAGTAGTAGTGGGTGACGCATACACACCGAGCCCACTCGCCCGGCCACGTGTGTGTGTGGTGGTGGTCGTGGTGGTGGTGGCAGTAGTAGTAGTGGGTGACGCATACACACCGAGCCCACTCGCCCTGCCACGTGTGTGGTGGTGGTGGTGGTCGTGGTGGCAGCAGTAGCAGTGGGTGACGCATACACACCGAGCCCACTCGCCCGGCCACGTGTGTGGTGGTGGTGGTCGTGGTGGTGGCAGTAGTAGCAGTGGGTGACGCATACACACCGAGCCCACTCGCCCGGCCACGTGTGTGTGTGGTGGTGGTCGTGGTGGTGGTGGCAGTAGTAGTAGTGGGTGACGCATACACACCGAGCCCACTCGCCCTGCCACGTGTGTGGTGGTGGTGGTGGTGGTCGTGGTGGCAGCAGTAGCAGTGGGTGACGCATACACACCGAGCCCACTCGCCCGGCCATGGTCTCCCCCCGCGTCCTCCTCGCTCGAGCTGCAGCCTCCTCGCTGGCCGCGTGTTGAGGCCGTCCACAGCGGCAGGCCCCACCAGAAACCCGCGGACGGACGCGGCCCGCCTGCGCTGTGCTCGCCCGCTCGCTCTCTCTCCTCTCACTACTTCACGCTCGTCCCATTATATCCTCCTCCTCCTCCTTCCATGCTGCCCACACACGGCCACTGCTGTCGATACACGAACGGTGGTTTAATATTGCCCGCTGCTGCTGCTGCCGCTGCTGCCGCTGCAGGAGGAGGTGCACCAGTGCCTGTAGCCGCCCCTGCTGCTGCTGCTGCAATAGTCGTAGCAACTGGAGGAGCTGGGACAACAGCGGCAGCAGTGGCCGTAGCAGCAGCTGGACCGTCGCCTCTTCAACAGCGTTCGTCCCGGCCCCATTGAGTCCCCGAGTCGCCCCCCACCTCTCCCCCCACTCCCTCCCACACCCCCCCCCCCACTTCCCCCTCCCCCCACTTCCCCCTCCCCACCACAGCCCGGTCCCCCCTCAGCGCAGGGTGTAACAAACCTCCACCCCCTACCCCAGCAGCGCAAGGCGTCGCGTGACGTCACAGCAAGCTATTGGATGACGTCGACCCGTCTCGCGGACACGTTGCCGTCTGATGTCGTCATGTAAACCGCGCGGTGTTGGAGAAATTGCGGGTAGGGTTGGGGGTGAGTGGGGGGGCGCTGTGACATCATCGTTGCAAGATGTATGATGAGTTCTAGATTTGAAGCTTTCGTGACTGCAAGGATCCATACTCTTTGGTTTTGTTCTGTTTGAGAGGAGACCTGATGGCTCATTGGGACATTCTGTCTACAGGAAACCCACCCATACAGATTCCTACTTGAAACCTGATTCCCACCACCACCCGACTCAAAAGAATTCTCTCATCAAAACGTTATACCACAGGGCTCATTGCATTTCGGACCAACACCACCTGACCAGTGAATTAAAACATGTACATCTGGTCCTCAAGAGGAACGGATACTCTGCCCGTACCATCCGCCAAGCTGTTTCTCCCTCCATACAGAAACAACCACTTGATACTCCGATCAAAACCATCACACTACCATATATAGCAGGCGTTACTAAAAAGATCTCCAAAATTCTAAACAAACACAAGATCTTGGTCCGGTTCAATACAGTACACAAAATCCGTGACATGATCCCATCCGTGAAGGATGTCATTCCTGACTTACAGTACCCTGGAGTTTACAGATTGATCTGCACCTGTGGTGACTGCTATATCGGGGAGACGAAGCGACATGTCTCTGACCGAATTCGCGAGCACAAATCAGATTTGAAACACGGCAGAACGAATTATTCTGCCATAGCTGATCACTGTTACAACGCTGTGGGTAATCGCGATATAATTTTCTCCGATACCAAGGTTCTCTGCAAACCCACGGGTTTTTATCAGAGATTTGTCCACGAGGCAATTCAGATTTACAAACACAGACACAATTTCAACCGAGAGGATGGTTTCAAATTAAGCAATCACTGGAAAGATATTCTTAGCTCTTTCGATAAAGTCACGTTGAAGGGAAACAATAAAATAATAAAATATATAAAACAATAAAAAATTATCACGACGTTTCGACCATAACACAAACGGTCGTCATCAGGTGTGTCGGTTCGCATTAATTTATTTATTTTTAAACGGTGGATTTATTTAAATCAAACCAAACATTAAACTAATTTTCAATGTTCTTTAGTTCTTTCGGTAAAGTCACGTAGAATGAGAATAAAATAATAAATTAATAAAATAAAATAACACAATAAAATTCTCACGACGTTTCGGCCACAACACAAGCGGCCTTCTTCAGGTGAAAGGAACAGACCCGTCAGGACGACAGAGCTACGTGATTTTGCCTAAAGAACCAAAGAAGATGAATTCTTGCAGTCACGAAAGCTTTAAATCGAAATTTAATTTTCAATGGTACAGTATATATTTTCAAGTAGTGGTATCCCAAACTTTCACAGCTGCTTATTTTCCCTTCACACCAACATTATGTAAACTCCCCCCCCCCTCGCCGGTCCAACATGTACCCCCTACGTACATCATGCTCATTGTTATGCTAATTCCTTTGTCAAGGCGCCTTTGTTTCCTCCCACAGCTTAAAGGACGCGACCTGGGCTTGGCTGTGTTCACTCCAACGCTGTCCTCTGGACAGTCCCTTCACCTGATGAAGGCCACTTGTGTTGTGGCCGAAACGTCGTGATTTTTTGTTGTTTTATTTTTTATTGTTTACCTACGTGACTTTACCGAATAAAACCAAAGAGTATGTATGATGAGGTCATGTTTTGAGCGCGTGGGTTTTGTCGGCGGGGTGACGTCATGAAAGTTTTAATTCTCAGTATGAATTGACATCGATGGCCGGAGCTATAATTAATTTAAGTGAAACTGTGACAAGAACTCAGCAGCAAAACATCCGGCTACAATCGGAAGGTTGTGAGTTTAAGTCCCTCCGATGTGTTTAAAACGAGTATAGTACCACTTTGTGGAGAAGTCAACAGTGGTTGTCCCTGTAGGAGAGGCTCGCCCCCTGCCATATGAATGTGGAATTTCCACCAACTCGCTCAGGGCTGGCAACAGGGGAGATTGCCCACCTCACATGAGCAGCAATTAACTTTTGAATCGGTGTCAATATATTAACCTTTTTTTAGGGCCACTGTTATCGACACACGTGTCCATTTAGTTCATGTTACGTTATTTGCAACAAAAAAATTCAATAAATAATAATATAAATAAACATTGCCTCCGTGGTCCTTATATGGGAGGGGGGCGGAGCCTGCACGCGGTGACGTCACGCGGGGGAGAGTTCAAGGTTCGCCCGGCGGGAGTCATGGCCTCCGAGAAGCAGCGTGGTGGTGGTGATGTTGGTGAGGGGATGGAGCGTGGTGATGGTGGTGGTGATGGTGAAGCCTCTCCCGGCCTCGCCAAAAGCAGGCGAGGCGTCACCGTGTCCCGCGAGCTGCTCGGCGTCAAAGGAGGCCCTGGTGAGAGAGCGAGCGAGTGCGATGTGGCGTAGGCTGCTGCTGCCGCTGACGATGGTAGTGCTGTAAGGCAGCCATGCCCGTGTTCTCTCGGAGACATTAAATTCACGGTGAAGTCACGAATTCTACGAGTCGTTAATTCGTACAGATATGCCGCTGGTGCATTCACGGTTGCCTGCACTTCCTCTTCGCTGCTTAATCGCCTTGTTATGTCACCCACCTGCATGGGGAGATAAGCAAGGGGTGAGCTTGGATAGTGCGCGGATGGGCGGTCATCAACTCTGAAGAGCAGGGGTGGTAGGCGATGTTGGGTATCGGAGGGCAATGTAGGAAAACATCCATTGGTGTGCTGTACTGTACTTCTGTGGTCCCAACGACTGTTGTCGACCGCCTTCAACCGGCACTAGCCAAGCGTGGTGAAGTATGGTCATTTAGCACGCACGACTCTCGTCCAGCAGCGGTTTGATAAGTGGGCTGTGCATATTCTTGGTTCTTTCGGTAAAGTCACGTTGAAGGGAAACAATAAAATAATAAAATATATATAATAAAATATATTTCAAAAAAATATTGTAAAGTCACGTTGAAGGGAAAAATTAAATAATTAAATATCATTTAATTGTTTTATATATATTTTATTGTTTCCCTTCAACGTGACTTTACCGAAAGAACCAAGAATATGACTCATTGCAGTCACGAAAGCTTTAAATTTCAATTTGGGCCGTGCATGTTAATTTATGACACGCACACCTGTCAACGCATACGCTTTACTACCCGGATTCTTGTACAGGGAAATTGAGTTAGAAACAAACAAACGTGTCTTTTTATATTCTTGGTTCTTTCGGTAAAGTCACGTAGAAGGGAAATAATAAAACAATAAAAATAAAACAATAAAATTCTCACGACGTTTCGATTGCAACACAAGCAAGCAATCTTCATCAGGTGTGGTTTTCACAATTTTATTGTTTTATTTGTTTATTATTTTATTATTTCCCTTCTACGTGACTTTACCGAAAGAACCAATAATATGAATCCCTGCAGTCACGAAAGCTTTAAAACGAAACGTGTCTTTGTGTTTCTCCCTTGTTAAGGGACTTTGTAGGATGAACGTTGAGATTTATAAGGGGCCGTCCATAAATGACGTCACGCACCTAGGGGGGGGAGAGAGGTCAGACATTTGTGACGATGTGTGACAAGGGGGGGGGTTGAGAAATGTGACGTCACATCAAAATGCGCAACTTTAAATAAATATAGACAACACGTTCTACTTAAATAGACTTTTTAAATAAATGTTTTCTCCTACGACATCGGAGTGCAGCGCCACATTAAATACGCACTACAATGACAATAGTTTACAGCGATTTGAAGCATGTTTTATTTTGTTTTGGGGGGGGGGGGGGGGCAGAGCTTTGTGACGTCACATTTGAGGGGGGGGTCTGACTTTTTGTGACAAGGGGGGAGTCAAAAATCGTCCAAAATCGCGTGACGTCATTTATGGACGGCCCCTAAGTGGCACGGGGTGACCAATAAGGTCTGACTTGGTCTGTAATAAGGTAGGGCACTGATAAGGGGTTGACAGGTATGCATAAGTGATTGACGTCGTTGGACTGTCCGCGATCATTTGAGGCGCATTATTTTGACTTCCCTTAACATTTCTTCTTTTGGGGGGGGTTAGATCACGTTAATGTAAATGTGTCACTCTGATTAAGAACCAGGCTACAGTCTACATTAGTGTTTTTTTTGTTTTTATTCACTTTATTATTCTTTTATATCTGCGTGACTTTACCGAAAATAACAAAGAATATAAATGTGTCGTTAAACCCGCCACCACCGACGACACGGCCAATGAGTAATGTTTGTCACGTGACACACAACGTGCCAATTCGTTATTAGTTCGGCACACGCGTGTGTTGGGAGAGCGAACCCACAACATTTACAATTTACATTTGATTTAACACGTGGGACTTAAATTTTTTCTCGTCAACAAAACGAAATGAGATCCGTTATATTTCTAATTGACGTTCTTTATTTAACCATTCGAGACCCAAGGCTTGTGATTCATTAACTTATTTGGTATCAATAATAAGGTTTTCCCCCTTTTTCTGGCAACAAAACTGAAACCTTTTTACAAGGATTAATGTCTGCATTAACCACAATTCCTGCAGTCAAAATGCAAACAAAAAACATACTATGATAATATATGCATTGTCCTTGAAACTGATTGGTCCACTCCGAGGGACGGCTTTCTTTTGAGCCTCGACCCAATTGGTGCTCGACCAGATGACGCCAAAAGGCGTACAGCTCAAAGACAATGCACTATCAAAGTAATGAGGGCTCGGGGTGAGCATCTACATCATTAGACCTCCTTTGCCAGTACCAAAATGTAATAATAGGGTTTTTCCACTTTTTTTCGAGCAACAAAACTGAAACCTTTTTACAAGGATTCATGTCTGCATTAACCACAATACCTGCAGTCAAAATGCAAAAAAAAACATACTCTGATGATATATGCATTGTCCTTGAAACTGGCATCCTTCAAGAGGTGCGACCCCCCCCATCACGATGAAATTGTCTCTTGTTATTGCATCCTTAAATTTTGATTTAAAGCTTTCATGACTGCAGGGATTCAAATTATTGGTTCTTTTGGTAAAGTCACGTAGAAGGGGAACACCTGATGAACACCTGATGATGATTGCTTGTGTTGCAGTCGAAACGTCGTGATAATTTTATTGTTTTATATTTTTATTTTATTGTTTCCCTTCTACGTGACTACCGAAAGAACCAAGAATATTGACGTCCTTGTTTAACTATTGTCAGATCAACTTGTGGTTAAATTTATTTGGTAAATATTACCTTATTTAATATGCATATAACCAGCTGAGATTCAAAACGTTGTCTAAGTACTTCATGTATGACTGGGTTAATTCTAATTGAGACTTTCAAAGTAAATTTTTCAAGAGAAAACCAGAGTTGCGAATATAAAATACAAATAATTACAAAACCCAATTACAATTTCAATACACAACTGTCAAAAGTAGCACATATAATCTGAAGCAATTAAATTATACTCGTGAGTAATATCGAAAATATAACATTTTAAGTGGAAAGGTTTAGTGATTTATGGCTCTAATTTAGCCAAATGAGAACTCTTTAAGGTTTTCTTGCAATGTCCTTTAGCTAGGTGAGATCTAATCGAGATTCTGTCTTTATAATGGTAATGATTACAACTTTGTCGCATGCTGCCCCTTTTTCCAGGTGAGAACACATTGACAAGTCCTGTCTTTGGCAAGGAACAGTTACAAGGAGATTTTTTTGTACGCTTATATTTTACTTCTGAAGACACTTTGACTTCCTCCAGTTTTGTTCCAAATTTGGGATTTGAACAGCGGCAGAGAGCGACCATCACATGACAGCTGCGGGAATACAATAAAATGGCTCTTTGGCAAACTAGCTCACCTTCTCACTAAGTAGATGACCATCAGTCTCGCGGTTTAAACATTAATTTGGCATCCCAAAAACCCCTTGTTGAATTCTTTTTTATTTTACCATGTGAGGCCCACTGAGTTGTATAGCTCTTTTTCAGAAGCGACCTCGCCACAAATGATAGCTCAACGAAGTGGCTCATCACGTGGACATTTATGGCTGCTTAATACTGTAAAATGCATGTTTCTAAATGTGGAGGGGAAAATCGGAACGCCCGGAAAAAAATCCATGCGACCATGAAGAGAACATGCAAACTTCAAATATACCAGCATCAGGGTCGGGATCGATCCCACGACCTCCCCGTATTCCAGGCGAAGTATTTAACATCTCGGCACCTATGTGACCTATGTGACAAAAGTGTTAATTTTGTCACATAGGTTCAAGGTAAGATCTTGATATGAAGTCCTCATTATGCGAGACACCATAAGGATATAAATGTATTCATATATTTTAATCGGTTCTTGTTTACACACTCTTACATAACCGTTTCAACTTTGAGCTACCTAACAGACCCTGTATAATTAAACCTGCTTACTATTGCTATGTTTAATTGACTTGTTGGCTGAAGCTTGTTTTGCATGAACCGCCCAGAAAAATATTCCACCTGCCATTTGGCAGCATTTTGTACTTTATGTCAAATAATAATTAAACCAATCTATAAGGTTTCACATATTAACTTTGTTTTCTGAAGCGATTACGTCATAGATAATCTTTTACATTACGGGCAGAATTTGGATGTCCTTTCATTTTGGCCATATAGAACTTTGCTGACAATTAAATTTACATTTTTTAATGGAAACGGATTTTTCCCTTCACTCTGGGAACTTTGATTATTCATGTTTGCTATCATGTTAGAGTAATGTTGCTTGGTAACTGGATCTTAAATAATGAAAGTCCTATATTCATGCTGTGCTCGATTTGACCTGTTTAAGTTTCTTTCCTCATAAATGTTATAATGTGACTGAAGTTAACGAATAGTAAATGCAGCTTCCTCTGAATTAGAAGCCAAACTTCTACATTATTTTACAGTTTACGGACAATTGGACACTCAGTGTTACTGTGATTATAGCTTGTATGTCGAGTGTTTTATATTTGCGGTAACCCACTTTGACCAAAAGTAGTGACTGTGACATTTGGTGCGCACTGACATGTTGCTGCTTCATGAAATGACTGCTCGGACATTTGGCGTGGAGTAGTTGCTATATGTTGAGCGGAGTGGTGGCGCAGTGATTAGCACACTCCACTATGAACCCATCAACCAGAGTCTTGATTCCCAGCCATAGTTGTCACCATTGGTGAGCGATTTTTAAACCGATACTGAGCACCCCCCATCACTAGCCCGAATGGTGAAGTATGGTCAAACAACCCCCATGACTGAAACGGCCTCGGTCGACCTTCATCCAGCAGTGCATTAAACAGGTGTCATAAGCTCCTGCCAGTTTGCGCTGTGGGCAGCAGATTGCAGTGGCTCAAAATCCACCTTCAACCAGCAGTGGATGGACAAAAGAGCTGTATGTGTCCTTTATATATTCAATTCTCTTTTGTTATTTCTGTCCCGTGTGCAGTCATTCCCAAGCAACTCTTCATAAACCCCAGAGTGGCCCAAAGGACTCAGGCTGCTGGCTCCACCAGCCGCCTGCCCCCCAGTTGCGGTGAGTGAACTACCTCTGCTGTACGTTCTGCTGACACCCAAAGGTACAAGTAAAGACAAGTAGAATTAAAATGTCTGCGCATTCTGCACCGCCGCCGTGCGTGACGGGTTGCCATGCGTTTGCGACGGCCGTGCTGCATTGTGGGAAGCAGAGAGCAGGGCGGCAAAATGCGTTGTTGTGATTCTATGCTCCCGTATCTATGCTACCCACCTTCGCTAACCCGTTCAGGCCAGAATGGTGAAGTATGGTCAAAATAACCCAATGACCCACACAGTCTGGGGAGGCCCTTGTTTTCAGCGGTGGTTTGACAAAAAGGCTGCGTTGCAGGTAATCGCTTTGTAGGAAGACATCTTATATTTTCTATTTATAGTGACTTGGTCCAAGTTAAAAGAGCTTCATAGCATCGGATTCCTCCAGCACAAATAAATATTATGATTCTGTATGTCCCCAGGCTGTGCCTTTTGCACCTCATGAATGAGAAGAAAAAAATGAAGTTAAGATGAGTTTATCATTGTCGCACGCGAGTTACAGCAACGTGAAGTCTCTTGCTCTATACGTTTTAATATGTTAGCACGGAGACATCACCCAACCATTATATTAAGGTGTTATATTCACAAGAGGTCATGGGATGCACAGCGTAGGTACCTGCCTACAAGCTAAGATATATTTTTTCTTTTAGGTTATTAAAGATGCTGACGACATTCGTCAGGCCGTAATACCTCTGCAATTGTCCGTGACGGCATAATCGGTAGCTAATGAAAAATTTCGATTGAATTATGAAAACAAGCATGTGCATAAGCCGCAAGTTTGAAATAAAACATGACGTACATTTTTTTTCCGTAAATGCTCCACCGTATATGCGGCATCAACGACCCCAACCAATTGTCACATCTGGGAGTAGAATACCACCAACTCGCTCGTATTCGCCCGCCCCTTCCCACTCGCTCCACTGCCGCTTTCCCAGCGCTGAGCCAGGTGAAGAAATTCCTGCCTCAGCTGGCAGCTGCCAACGACGTCCTGCAGAGGGAAATGCAGGAGATGCCGGCGGGACACTTCGATATCGAGCATGTGGACGACGGGCAGGAGCGCGTCATCGAGATGGTGCGTGTGCCGCCCAGGGCCCTTGACGCCGTCGCGCGAGCCGTCAAAGGTTTGCGTCGTCGTGCCGCTGGGCAAGCCCTTGCAATGGCGGTAGAGGCCTCTTTTTAACCCTTTCCCATTCCGATGACGTAGGTGTACGTCATCGGAACGGAATCGGAAGTTAAAGGCCGTGCAGGAGGGCGTGTGGCACAGTTTGACGCCAGCTATCATGTGTGCAGTCGTGTCGCTACAGTTCTCTGCAGCGAGTGTAGTGCCTTTAAAAAAATGGCGCTTTGCCTCTCTAAATAAAATTAACGCTGAACCGTTGGCGTGTTCCGAGATTCGGCGGTGAACGGGAGCCGACCTGCAACTTGCAGACGTCTCTGAACAGGAAAGGGTAAATATTAAACATGAACCTACTTACTCTGCTAATGTGGCTGAGTTCCAGTTGGAGGATGCCAGAAGTCCAATGAGTCACTTAATTTATTATCACGTGGATCTGGAGCGGCCGAGTGTGTTTTTTTAATTCGATTATTTAATCAGAAGGTCACAGTTGATCATAACTTAACACATTCAGCTGGTGCCCTTTTAATACTTTCGCAAATGTAATTGTGCCGTGGCCTAATATCCACAATGGGACTTGTTTACATGCGTATTGAAATCATCTTTTGAGAATGCTGGTGGCCTTTTCATTCTCGTCGCAAATATAAATAAACCGCCACCGTACGTAACTCAACGATGCACCGTTACGGTTCATTTTTTTGTCCCCCCTTTGTGATTTTTTGTTTTACCTGCAGAGCATCTCCCTGGTTGAAGGGGACAACTCGGACACGGACGAGGAGGAGGAGGAGGAAGACTGCAGCTCGTCTGGGAGCTCATCCGACTCGGAGATGGCGGACGGGGGGGAAGGACTCCCGGTGATGCCGAGATTGCGCTTGAGCCAGAAGTCGGCGGCGCAAGCGCGACATCGCATCGTCGAGCTGGACACTCTGCCTGCTACGGACCAGCCGCCACGTGAGCCCCAGGGCACGTGACCAACGCACGAGGATTCTCTTCCGCCAAATCCTCCCAATGGTGTCAGGATGTTCTTTTGTGGTTGTTCTTTTGCCCCAGATGACTTCCTCCTGGCTCTGTGTAGATGCCTTTCTTTGCCTCTGTTTAAACGTCTTACATTCTTTTGCACAAACTGACGTTAATTAGATCTTTCACGCATTGACCGCCATAAAGCCCAAAACGGGTCATGCAGTGCCTTCCCCATGTGGCCTTAGGGACATACAACGGGGCTTATTTTCTTGTTGCATTGTTTTCCTCAACGTGCTTTTGGCCACCGCAATGTGTTAACATATTCCTGCCAAATAAGTAAATAAATATGGGCCAGAATTCACGTGCTCTTCATCTCGGTGCGACCATTACATTGCGGCTGAGACGCTGACCTTTGTCGATGACACTCTTAAGCGTTCCCTAAGGACCTTTATGAATGTGGCTTACCTCTTCATTTCTTTAGGGAATGTTGCATGCAAGCCAGAGTGGATAAGCGGAGTGGTCGGTGCTTTGTTGTTGTCATCAATAACAACACGGCGATGATGGCGAGAGGATCGGCGAGAGGATCGGCACGATGTATGGGTTCAGGGAAATCTGCTCGGTCACCCCCGGCAAGAGAACATGGCCCCCAGGAGGGTGGCGAATGTGGGCGTTTATCGGCGAGCTGCCCTGGTGCGCGATGGATTGACGCGCGCGATGGATTGACGCACGCGTACCGTGGCCTAATATCCATAACGGGACTTGTTTATGTGTGTATTGAAATTATGTTTTGTATTGCCAAATTGAGTGATGTTCATTATCCTCTGCTGCCCCTATAGCCCCTGCCATCCATGCAGTCCACTCCCTGTTCAAGTCAAGGCTCAAGACCTTCCTCTTTACCTATGACCCACTGCCAATTAAATATCTATGTATGTATGAACTTCTTCCGTGCCGTACGTAGCCAACCATCCTAATCGGAGGTGTGGGGGAAGGACAACAAACACAAAAAGCACTTCTAAAGAAATTAGTTTTCAATCGAGATTTAAAAGTGCACAGTTCCAGTGGCTTCCAAATATTGCAAGGAAGAGCGTTCCAGACGGCCGCAGAAGCGCATCTAAAAGTGCCTGATGCAGTGGCCATCTTTGTTCGATGGTTGGCCAAAACCCGCCACTTCAAGGATGGACCGGAGTCCGCGTGATGGTTTATGCTCACTTGCTTTATAGCAGTGGTTCTTAACCTTATTGGAGGTACTGAACCCTGCAAGCTTCATCAGTGCATTCACCGAAACCTTCGTGATTGGAAAAATAAAATTTGATTTCTTCAAAACATAGGTATATATTTTATTAGTGCACAAAATGAACCATGCATCAGTTGCACACAAAATCACTGTGTTCAAAGAACAAAACCAACAAAACATGAATTTCACAAAAACATAACTCAATTAATATTTACTGCAAATCAATGTGACTTTTGCTGTTGCCTTTCAGATATAAGTTCAGAAATTCGCGGCTTCACCTTGGCAAGTGCCACTCATCATTTTCGCAACAAAGTCTGTTCCTTTTCTTAGTTTTTATGTCTACCATCGAAAAATATTGCTCGCAATGATACGTTGTAACAAACGGTGTGAGTATCTCAAGGGCTGTCTTAGCAATAAGAGGGTATGGTACGATTTGGTGATACCAAAACGTTGAGAGCGTTGTTCTGAAGAGTTGCTGTTGAAGCTGGCTCTGCTGAAGTTCAATGATTTCCTCGAGGTATTCATCGTTGACATCTGCTGTCGCTTCACTAAACGTGAACGGCTGTCTCACCCATGCTGGATATGACTCTGGTGGGGAAGTATCCGTCGGGAGACTTTGCGAGCTCATCTAAGTGCATGGCAATTGCTTGCTTCAGCTCCCCAGATACAGAAATGTCTCCAATTCCAGGCACGAATTCGATCTTACTTAGTCGTCCACCGGGGGAAAGTTTGCGAAGTTATCATTCTCTGTCCGTCGTTTCCATAAAGGTAGTTTTTTTTTAAACGCCTTCAGGTTTTCCGTTTCGATTATGTTTACTCCACCTCCCTGCATCTGTCGATTGAGATGATTGAGAGCATCGAAAATATCGGCCATGTACGCCAAAATGAGAATGAACTCAATTTTCGAAGCAATCTGCGTGACAATGTTGGTACTCTCGCAAAAACATGGCTAATTCCACACGCAATGGCAAAAACGATTCAGCACCTTTCCCTCGGATAACCACCGAACGTTAGAATGGTACAGAAGTACCTCGAATTCAGAGCCCATTTCCTTACACAGCTCTTTGAAGATGCGGTGCTTCATAGCACTATTTCGCACGTAGTTCACACATTCAACTACAATTTGTAATACTTCTGCCAGTTTTGGAGGCAAGGTTTTTGTTGCCAACGCATGTCTGTGCAGAACACAGTGCGTAACAATGGAGTGTGGTGCATCAGATTTCACCAGCGCTCCAAAACCAGTGTCGTCCCAGCATGGCTGGAGCTCCGTCCGTACAAACTGCAGAAACCATATTCCACGAAAGATCGTTGTCTCTGAAGAAGTCATCCACGAGTTTCTTCACATCGACTGCCTTGGTTGTTGTAAGAGGCTTACAAAATAAAAAAAAATATTCCTTTATCACGTCGTCTTTCATATAGCGCACGAATACAACAAGCTGGCTTAGATTGGAAACGTCGGTGGTCTCGTCGAGTTGGAGGCTGAATTTTGCTGGGCTTGAAATCAGATCTGCAACGACTAGAGCCAAGATGTCATCGCTCATGTCTATTTTGCTGCTGCTGATAGTGTCATTTGAAAGAAGAATTTGGGATAACTTATCTTCAGCTTTTCCCAGCATGATGTTCGCCATCTACAATGCAGCTGGTTTTACGATTGTTTCACCAATGGTGTGTGGTTTGCCCTGCTTTGCGATCAGGTGCGCAACTTCGTACGATGCTGTGAGGATCGGTTTGTCGATGGTACAAAGCAGAGAACAGGCAGAGTAGCCTTTTCATCGAATCTGGCTCTCTTCACCTTGAATTCAGCGAGCGTTGTGTTCTTGTATTTCCCATCTCCATGCAGCTTTAGGAAGTGTTCCTTTAGTTTTGCCGGTGCTAGACTAGAATTGCTCAACTTGGCATTGCAAATCATGCATTGAGGACGCTGACTCCCATCGCGTTCCTTTATACACGTGAATCCATATTGTACGTATTCGTCCAACCACTTTATTTTTTTGCTCGACATAGTATGAAGGGATTGAAAGATTAAAAGAAAATCACAAATGACGTACAATCACAACAGCCACAAGTCGACTACTGAGCGCACCAAGTTCCTGATCACGCAATGTGGCGTGATCAGCTGCAGCCAATGATGGCCAAGCGGAGCGTGACGTCACGAATAATACAAGTGGGCTGAATTTATTTTGTGTAACATTTTTACTAAGCAACTAAATATTTGTAATCTAACACGGCGAAGAAAAATTGTGTTGCCAATTTTTTGACGGCCGACAAAAACGGCCTGCATTACCGGTGCGAACCGGGCTGCTATACTGTGTGTGTCTTGACCCCTGCTGAACCCCGGAGAGTGACTCAACGAACCCCTGGGGTTCGATCGAACCCAGCTTAAGAACCACTGCTCTACAGGGTCTTGAGATTCAGTCACATTTCCACGCTGTATAAATTAACATTGTACATTGTCGTATTAATGCATCAAGTTGTTGCTGTTTATTTTTTTAAGCTAAAAGTGTAAAATGTGTTTCAATAAATGCTACATCAATTGAGAATGTTGACATCCGATGGCTTACCTCAAAAACAAACTCTTTATGCTGGCTCTGAGTTTCACTCCACAATCTGCAGTCATTTACCCCAATTATTCCACGCGAGCAACATGCCAGAGGAAATACCTCGCCCTGAACGCTAGAGGATTGCCTTTAAGAGCCAAGGTCATTATTCACGCCAACTAGACAGGGGAGATCATATCTTCGTTCCGTTGGAAGACACTACAATGGCCGTGTTGGGACGGTGTAAAGTAAGCAATTAACAAGACGAGTCGTGGGATGTTGTGTAACTGATTGCATTTTAAATCGACTGGTTGCCGGTTCGGGCTCTGAGCCATGAAGACCGCCCTGGTGGGATGACTGTCATTGTTGGGGAGAGGAGAAGAGGCTTGACGGTGGGCCGTGCAGTTTTTTTGTTATACTGCTAGGGGGGATCCATTAATGGGTATTAAGAGATGGGTTATTGCACCTCGATGTGACGACCAGGAACGCCTCCTTTCAGGCAGAGCCTAAGTGCTGTCGGGCATTGTGACGTGAGCATTATGAACGGTGCACTTGCTCACGAACTGCCCGTGGCATCTCTCATATTAAAGGCGGCTGAATTAATCGTCCTTAATGCGCTAGAAGATGTGGGTGGTTTCTTGTTTTTGGTTGGGAAATGTACGTTTGTATTTTTTTTTTAAGATTTGATATGTGGAGACTATCAGACTTTAGGCTACCACAACTTTTTCAAAATTGCACCACGTAAGTTATGGGAGGGCATGCGTTTACTCAACCCATAGCACCAAGCTGTCATGCAAACAGCCTACAACGGGTGTCTGAAGCTTGTAAAATCCACTGCTGGATTGAGGGTCGTGGGAGTAATTTTACCATACTGGACGCTGATCAGTGTAGGTTGGTAAAGGCCGTGGGCATCGGAGCGGGAACATAAAAATAATAAAATATATTTTAAACTTTTTTAAAAACACGCTTGAATTAAATGTACCGTACGAGTAATGGAAAAACTCCACAACTCCAGGAAGTGGCCCCGAAGCTTGCCATAACGTAAGAGACTGGTGATTTACAGCCAACGTCAGATGAGCGTACACCAAATTTGCAGTCGATACCACATTGGGAAGTGGGTTAAAATTGAGTTACAAGATTTCAGGATACAACAACAGACAAAGTGAGTTGAATAAAAGCGTGTAAGACAATTAGACCCAAGCCGAAACAACATGTAAAAAAGAATGGTTTAAAAATATGTTTTTCTTTTTTTGATAGAATATAAGATTGTCATCAGTATGACATAAGTATACCAAGTTTGCAGTCGATACCACATTGGGAAGTGGGTTAAAATTTAGTTACAAGATTTGAGGATACAACAGAGTTAAATAAAAGCGTGTAATAATAAAAATACAGCCCGATCAACAATTTATTTTGCTTCCCTGCCCTCTGCTGCCAACGACGTAGCCCCGAAGCCACCGATATCAAACCTGGGGTACACGGCGATCGCCCATCCAAGCACGGTCCAGACTCAAACCTGCTTTAGCTTCTAAAATCACGTGTTTTCTGGCCGCTTTGAAGTCAAGAAATGTGCGTTAAGAATCAAGATAAGATCTATCCTGTATATATATAAATATTTTACCCCCTCATATTCAAAGGGGGCTGGGGGCGAGGATGCTAGGCGTGAACAAAGCGTATGGGAGAATCGTGATCGTCGGTAAGGAACGGGTATAAAGATGAGCATCGCTAATGCGTGTGACACTGCGTGGCCTATTCTCAGCGCCGCGCGCCTTTTATTGCGATTCGAGCGCCGCGAGCCGGCCAGGGTAGGGGTGGGGGGTGGGGGTCTTCGCTGCCCCCCGTCCGCGTGGCCCGCGATCGTCCCGTCGGGCGGCTGCGTGGCATTAACGCGGCGCCCCCTGTTTCACAATAGGGCCGCTAATCAGGACGCGGGCGCATTAGCGGATGGCGCTGATGTCTGTCCGCCTGAGATGTGGTCGCGAGAGAGAGAGAGCGGTTAAGGGAGGAGAAGCCGCGTGTTCCCGATGTACTTTGAGGTCGTACGTGCTGAGAAGAGAATGTCTATTGATGAATTCGTGACCTCCCGCAAGAGCCGGTGGGTTGGGTATATTTTAATAGCTGCCTCGCTGCTGTTGTCACGTCTGCATTTGTCGTCCGTTTTGCCGAATGGATAGATGTTGAAACGGATGGATTATGAAAGTGATGGATGGTGAGTGGGCGTGCAAATCCTCACTCGCCTTGTGCAAACATGCGCTGTTAGCCCACGTTTATGGGTTCACAGCCTAGGTTTGTGGGTTCGTAAGTCCGAGTATCAGCCGCCTTTGCTGTTCACGTGTCTCTGCCAGGAGGGTGTTCGTGGTGCAGCGTGTGCTGGTCGACGTGTTGATGTGGAGTGCATCATGAACACCATCTGATAAGGAAGCTGTTGCGTTTTTTTCAAGCTGAAGATGTATTTATACTGTCCTTCATACCGTGTCCGTATTTCAACAAATATGTATACTGTACATTGCATTATTTTGTGTAAATTACATTGTATTGATGTGCTGTGGTGTTATTTTTACTTGTGAAGCACCCTGTGGTAATTGTATTTGTGAATGCGTGGTATGAAATAAAGTTTCATTGATGGCGCACTCCCTCGTATGTACTGTATATGCTGAATACCTATGGACGATGTGAAGACGGTAGTGACACGAGGACGTTTTTCCAGCTCTCTAGGCCGGATCAGGCCCTCTCAAAATATCCATTGTGCATTTTTGAAAAAGGGACATTTTTTGTTGTGTTGTCAATTTGTTGGTGTACTTATTGTAGTTATGCAGCTGTAAGCAGAATTAAACAAATTGTTCAATTAGTGTGATGATGATTATGATGATGACGATGATGCTAACTCTGGCAAGGGAGAGCTTAGATGAAGACCAGCCTAGGGAGACACCGATGGGTGTGGATAGTGAAGCAGTTTTTTTTAAGAGGAAGCAACGTTTGTCACCTAAAGTGGCTTGTCATGTGCAAGCCATATACATTTTAATTAACATCTTTTTTTCGATTTAAAGCTTTCGTGACTGCAGGGATTCATATTCTTGGATCTTTCGGTAAAGTCATGTAGAAGGGAAACATATTTTTTATTTTTTTTATAATTTTATTGTTTCCCTTATACGTGACTTTACCGAATGAACCAAGAATATATTTTTTTCGTTAAGTCTTTGGTACACAATACCTGCTCTTGAAAAACTGCCGATACTTTCCAGTTTTGAGTCACTTGAGTCTTCACACGGCAACATTATTTCTCAAATGGCATTAATCGAGGCCACGTTGTTTCGCGACGTGCCCGTATCCCCGGATCACAGGGCCGGGACAGTTACTGCTCTGCGGGCCTCGGTCAAATCTGATGGTTGAAGCGATTGCGGTCTAATGCTTCAGCGCTTAATCGGCTGACATAAAGGACGGTGCGCTGTCCCTGGTGCTGAACGGCGAGCGTGTGAGACGAGCCGACGAGATTCTGCCGCTGTCCGTGGTGCTGAACGGCTGACGTGGTGGCGAGCTCCACTGTTAAACAGGCGGTGGCGTGCGAGCACAGAGCGAGAGACGCGTTAACGGCACAGCGGCGGCGACAACAGGGAGCGCAAAATGCAACAAAACATCCTCATTAATCCAACACCAACAATGAGACGGCGATGGTTTGTTTGAGATTGGCTGGGCTGGCTCGCGTGTGCGATATGCTTCATGAGTCTGGTTAAACTACCGAGTTATCTCGGCGTACGTCGGGGTCATCTTTTATTTAATGCAGATGAGACCCGTTGAGGTAACGGAACCCAGGTCCACACCGCATACAGTAAATGTGTGAACGGCCGATACATTTACCTTGATGAACTTAATTGCCATACGAAGATGAACGAGCAAACATTGCGTTCAAAATAACAAACCGTAAATTAATAGCAATAATTGCGTGTACATTTTAGAGCTACGACTAAATTTCCGGTGAGATGCACTCACAGTATAGTTAGGTACACACACCACTGTGCATGAGTAAAAAAAAAACATTAATTCACAATCTAAACAAATGTGGCTGTGTGTATTTATCGAACGAATGCCGTTATGTGATAACGATAACACCCTCAAGCGAGTATCGTGAAGGATGCATGTTTGCGTGTGGCAGGAAACAGCTGTCACCGAAGACGAAACCCCAGGGGATAACAACTCCATGTGCTGCGGCTGTTGTATTGTGATAATCGTGATTGGTATCTTGATGCCTTGCAATAGGTGTCCATTTGGTGTTTGAACGTCTTCACGCCTCCTGTATTATTGCCGGAAAGGGTAAAGAATAGTATTATTTTCATCAATTTAATGGTGATCAGTTTGTGCATTAAGACCAATTGTCGTGAAGAGCACATTATAGATGATTGATTATGTCACCGATAATGTTGCTGATGATGGTTATGATGGCAGCAACGACGTTGCTGCTGCTGGTTTCTGCTGCTTATGATGATGATGAATTGGCTCGGATCCGACCCATGTATGGGCCTCCGGACGCGCACAGTAGTGCGAGTGTGGGTTGGTGGTGGGGGAGACGGTTGGGGGGTGGTGGGTGGCGAGGTGGTTGTTGGAAGGGTGGGGGGTGCTGGCGTGTGGGGGCGGGGGGGGGGGAGTAGCAAGTTGTGAGTGTTCAATGTTCCGCTCCTGAAAATCGACGCTTCCTCCTCCCTCCTTCCCTCCTCCTCCCGCTCCTCCTCCTCCCCCCTCTCCTCCTCCCCGTCCGCGTTGGCGTTGAGAGGGAGCGAGCGAGGCAGAGGCGGCTAGCATCGCCGCTGTTCGCACCACAAGGCTCACCGCGTCCTCTCGGGCTGTCTTGTATAGAGCGCCGTGTGTATATCCCTTGTGTTGCGCGTGTATGTGTGCACATACGTATTCGTGCGAGACACATACACCGGCGCAGGGCCCATAGCAGGTACATGCTCAGTGCTTCTATCGTTTAGCAACCGACGACCACTCCCCAAGCTTGGTTCAACATCGTCCGTATTGTCTCGAATATCGTCATCGTCGTTGTCGTAATACTAGTCGTCGCTATCGCTACATTATCACAAGCCTCGTTCTAATTTAAAGACAGCGCGTGGTTGGCGTTTGTGTTTTTTTAGTTGGTTATGCCATTCGCCGGTATTTAAAAAAATATATCTGAGTCTTTACGTGACATATTTGAAAATCCGCCGCTCGTGTATATTTACCAGCGCTAGCGTCGTCAAGCTCAGAAATCCGACAGCCTTGGCTCTCCGAGACAGAGAGAGACCGCTCTCTCTCTCTCGCTTCGAGTGGTTGAGACTCGTGTAGGAGGGGAGAGACTCGTGTGTGTGTGTGTGTGACAGACAGACAGAATCGACCAGTACCTGAGAGCGACTCCTCGCATCGAAGCGATAATCGGCACTAAAGAGAGATACGAATTGGAGAGACGTCTAAGATAAGAGCACGGGGAGACATACACTTGGAGGATAGATTGCTACAGAGCAGAGACTCTCGGAGCAGACAGACGTATTGCAGGAGCGAGATCGACTCATATGAGATCGGGTTTGTTTGCAGGGGCCTGGCTTTGGAGAGAGACTCGTGTAGGTGACCGATATAAACTCATTACGGGAGGGAATCTTGTGAGGAGAGAGAATCATATGAGATCCGCCGAGGAACGATACTCGTGCATTGGAGAGACGCATACAGCAGATGGTTGAATAGAACAGATACCCAAGGGCGTAGAGATACGCGTTTGAGAGAGAGACTTTTCGGAGAGACTTGCATAGGGAGGGATACCTTCATAGCCAAGACACTCATCATACAGGAGAGACACTAGCGTATCGGAGATATATCGAGAGAGAGAGAGAAGAGGGCGATAGAGACACAGGCAGGAGAGAGTCGCGATCGGGAGAGGTCAGGGAGAGCATTCGTCCACCCCTCGGGAGCGTCATCGTCTTCCCCTCGCGGGGAGCGGTCCAGCTCTGCGGGGACGCGACCTTCTGGGATCTCCGGTGAGCTGGGTGCCGCCTGGCACTGCAAGACCGCGACCATGTCTCAAGAGGCCGAAGAGGGACCCTCGTGGAAGAAGCAGACCCAGGACATCAAGCAGATATTTGACTTCAAGGAGGTGCTGGGCACGTGAGTCACTCCCCCCCCCCCCCCTCCATTACTGCATGCCCTGCTGTCTCAGCCCTTGCGATGATGTGGTGGTGATGATGATGTGGTGGTGATGTGGTGGAGTTGTGGTGGTGACAATGTAGTGGTGATGTGGTTATGATGTGCTGGTGGTGATTATGTGTCTGTGATGTGGTTGGTAATGCTGTGGTAGTGATATGGTGGAGAGATGGTTATGTAGTGGTGATAATGTAGTGATGCTGTGGTGGTGGTGGTGGTGATCTGGTGATTTTGTGGTGATGTGGCGGTGGGGTAATCGTGATGGTGACGGGTATAATAGCTATTGCCATAGAGTACAGTACTGTACTTGTATAGACTATATCAGTGCTTGGTTTAGTGTCGACATTGTAATAATCAATATCTGCGATCGCCACCATGATAATCGCTGCAATGAACGATATCGCTGACACCATTACATCATCATCATCGGCACCAGCATCAACCTCACTGCTGTAATCATCGTTATCATCTACACAGTCAATGTTGTATTCATCGTCGTTAAAGTTGTATTTCACACCACACTCATCAACATCGTTAGTGTCGTGATCACCATCAGCATCGTCGACACCGACATCATCATAGACACCAACATCATCATCAGCATCATTGACTCCACCATCATCATTTTAATTGTCGACAACATCGCCATCTACAACATCATCATTCATGGTCATCAATAATGCACTGAAGCTCGTGCCCGTCACGGTGCTGTCGCGATATTGATTCCGCGGCATCACGTGACACGCCGCGATCATTCCCCGTTGTGCTCATGACAACGCTCTTATCGTTGGTGCTGTTGTTGTAGTTGTTGTTGCCATCGTCGTTGTTGTCGTTGTCGTTGTTGCTGCTGCTGCTCTGTGTCCCTTTACCCGCGAGCTGCTGCCCCGTGCGTCCCCACGCCATAGCCCCCAGTAAGCATGGGAAATGTTGGGCGAACGTCGGAACCAAACGTTGGCCCAACGGTTCCAGCCACATGCCAACGTCAGCACAACGTTGGCATGTTTACTAAGGGGGGTTCTCGTGAGCAGCACCTGCCCCTCGGAGCTGCCCTTCCGTAGAGCCAGCCGTACGTGTGACCTACTGACTCTGTGTTACTTGTACGGGGCCAGGCAACAAGACTTTCTAACAAAGCGACTCGAACTTAAACCTCTGGCCGAGTTATACAGGCGCGCGCAGAGGGTGCTCTTGGTTTCACTAAGATCCGATAAACACCGTGGAAGTTTGGAATCGCAAGCATTGTAAATTCAGAACTTAATTCTCGATATACAGATTTTTTTTGCGGTTGTCGGTAGACCTCAGTAGCACGTAGATTATCGCCACGGCCGTAGCAAGAGGTACACTCGCGATGTGGTGTGCCGCGCGTGCGGATTTACTCAGAAAGATGAGCTTGTGACGGGTGGGAGTTGTGCCGGGATGAAGGAGGCTAGGATTAGGCAACCTGGAAGTTTGGAATGGAATGTTGCAGGAGAGCGTTGTAGATGTAGTCTAGAAGAAGAGGTTATGATGAGCGGGACGTGTGTGCAGCATGGAGATGGACAGGTCACCAAAACAGGCATTCGAGTGACACCCAGAGGCTGACGGCCAGGGGGAAGACCTAAAGCCAGACTGTGGTAATGAGATGGTAAGGGCAGTGACTGCAGCACGTGTGTAGCGAGGGGAAGGCCTCGTTTCATGGCAGTGATGGTGAGACTTGTAAGGGCCAGATCTTTGAAGGTCAGATGTTTGATTTTTTTTAACAAACGAGGATCTGGGAGAAGGACAGGAAGCGATGGCATAGTTGTGAGGGGGGGGGGGGCATCGGTGGCTTTGGCCACGGTGACCCCTTGACCTTGTGCCTTGCCTCCGGGAGGAAGAGTCGACGACAAATGTCGATTTCTGCATCGCACAATTCGGCATCGTGTTACATCCACTGCGGGCGCAATGGAAGGGTCGCTGGATGTTTATTTTCCGACGGATTTATTGTTGTTGTTTTTGGCGGTGGCTAAAAACGTGTCGACGTTTCGCATCATCGCCAACAGATGTGTGTGTGTCCGTGTGTGTCCGCCCCGTCTCAGCAAAGATGTACGCATCATCTGTGAGCCCGATCCCTGAAACAACGTGAGTGGGATTTCGAGTCGATGGCTATTTAATTGGTGATACGCAAAGAGAAGAAAAAAAGCGATCAGATCCGGTGGCTCGTGCGGCTCGATCGCGACTCCCGTAAACGAGTTAGCACATTCACGGCCTCGTATGTCTCAAATGACTCAAATATATGAATCGTTTGCACACACGCATCGCTATGGAGCCGTAACCAGACCTCCATTCCCGGCCACGGCTATCGTCAGTGGTACGTGGACTGCGCCTGGACCTCTCCTTCACAAACCGCACTGAACAGCGTGGTCAAGTCTGCCCAAACATACGCCGTGACCCACACGCCATGCGGAGACTTTCATTCAGCAGTGGATTGACAGAAGGACTGCCAATTTCTATTATTTTCACATGCTTCGGTATTATGCTTTGAATATGGATACCTAGGTTATTATACAATTCGTCTGGACCGGGAAAAAGTGGAGCATTGCTTTAACAAGCCTTGTAAGGTGCACCGTTTATGTTCGGAGTCCAAAGCCAATGGTGGAAATTCCACATTCCTATGGCAGTGCCTGTTACGTTACGTCGCGGTACAATACAGTCGTGTTTGTTGTTATTGTTGCCACCATCGTCATCAACACAGATGATGTACGATCGTCTGACACTGTGAAGTCGAGACAGTGGACAAATATTAACACGAATCTACGTGGTGACGGACCCCACATTTAACTGTACGGCTTCTGCGCGTGTCCCATCTTCCAACGTAAGACTATTTGTTTAACAGCGCCAGTAATGGCTGCTGAGAGCTAGAAGGTCAAAACCGGTTCACGTTTTATCTGCTTAAACCGACGCTGTTATGGATCATTGAGATGGAGGATATATTGCTCTTCGCCGAAAAAATATTTCATTATTTTGAAATGAGGACAGGCGGACATTTCCCTGTTTATTTATATGCATATAAGCATAACTTATACGCTGCCGTGATGTAAATGTCAGCACAAGCTGGACTTGCAATCCTGAGGTCAACCGTTCCATCTCCCGTCGTGGCAATTAAAACAATCTTGATTTGAAGCTTTCGTGACTGCAGGAATCCAATTAAAACAATGTTCTTAAATTTTAAAAAAACGCCACTTTTTTCTAATTTTCTTGCTGTGGTTTTCAAACCTGATGATGATTGCTTGTGTTGCAGTCGAAACGCCGTGATAATTGTATTAATTTATATTTTCATTATTTTATTGCTTCCCTTCTACGTGACTTTACCGAAAGAACCAAGAATATAATGTTCCAGCTATAACCCCCCTCTGCTTCTACCCACCCGGCAGTGTGTACCACGGCGTGGTGGGGCAAAGTGTGGGTATTCGCATTTCTTCCAAAAGACGTCTAGAAAAGTAGGCCAAACATCGGGATGAGCGGATTTCTAGAGGGAGCTCCCTCTAGTGGATGCCCTTCTGCCAGCAGTGGTGTGAGACAGGAATGAGAGGGCTGCACCTTTATCTAAATACTGTATGTAGAGCATGTGCCAAATGTAATCGTTCACTGGTCAATTAAACACACGCACAGTGGCTAACGAATAATAAAATGCATGCTCGTATCACAGAAACACCGCAGGACACGTGGATAAAACGCAAAAGCAAATGTTTATTTCATCTATAATTATCAAATCAACATCTTGTTGTTCAATGCGTACACCTTTTGATGTATAGAGGTGCGCCAAAAGCCAGGACACATCGGATAGTAATATTTGTTGAATCAAATCGCATAGGGTTATTTAATTACTTTTTGCAAATGTTTAAACTAACTTTCATGAACATTCATTCACGATGCATGAATTATCTTTTGAAATGAATTTAGGACTTTCCTTAGCATACTGAACACAAAAAATAATTGAACTCGTTGGTCTTTGGTCAATTTTCTTTCCATTATAAATGTCATCTGGAAAGGAAGAAGAAGAAAAACACGAGATTAATAATGACAATAAATAAATATTCACAAAAAAAATACAAACAATAAAAATGTTTTAATGACAGTGTTAAAATCAATTAAATAACCCGAATTAATCCTGAATTGTGGGCCACCCTGTGGAGCAGCATCCACGTGCAATCGCGTCTCAAGACGCTGTATGCAACAGGGGGGCATCGCGGGAAAGTGAAGATTTGACGAGGAGACTCACCGTGTGGAGGGAGAGAGGTATCAGGCATTGAAAGTTGAACAGTTGCAGGGAGTCGGAAGCACGGAGGTCTGTGGTGAGGACGTTTGGGGCTCCAGGGGCAGCAGAGGTCAAGCGACCTACCTCCCACCGAGTGAAGGTCAACTGCGGTGTGATGGAGCAGAGAGAATGCATGGAGGGGAGTAGAGTGAGATGAGAGGGAGAGGCAGGAGAGTGTGTGGAGGGGAGTAGAGTGGGACGAGAGGGAGAGGTAGGAGAGTGCGTGGAGGGGAGTAGAGTGAGATGAGAGGGGAGAGGTAGGAGAGTGCGTGGAGGGGAGTAGAGTGAGATGAGAGAGGTAGGAGAGAGCGTGGAGGGCAGTAGAGTGAGATGAAGGGGGAGAAGTAGACGCAGCTAGGTCCATGGATGATTAATCATTGTTTGCATGTGTTATTTAATACTGATTCCAAAGTGTCTTGTGCATTGTTTCCTCTGTTCACGTTGTTAGTCTGGAGACTGGGGTGAGTTTTCTGTTTTCCTGTATTAATTTAAAGCGACGTCTCCGTTGATCAAAGAGACTCATGGTCTCAATGAATGAAATAACTCCATCTCTGAGCCGAAACCTCTACATGATAATCAAGTATCCTGTCGTCCTGTTGTTGGTGTCTCAGCCTTGCGGGCTTGAGCTAGTCAGCCGCATTTGGTTAAGCGCGGAAAACTCCGGACCATTTCTCTTTTTCCCCGACACTAT